TTCTAATAAACAGCAATTCAATTGATTCTGTTTGTTTTTCTTAAACTTATTTGCCTAAAAGGAAATTGGCAGGGGGTGCTCAGGAGACAGGGACTGGCACTCAATGCTGGGGATCTCCCCTACCTCGACTCAACTAATTTTGCATGGTCTTTTCTCCCTCCTGCTCTTTCGTTTCCGGCCCTTCTACAATCCACTTCCTAAAGTGTAAAAGCTATGCTGAAAGGATGAAAGGCTGACTTTGTGCCAGTCTTGAACGGCCTGAGGGAATCATGGACACGGTATTCCTGTTTTAGTTGTCTACCACCCCTAGCTTTATAAATATCTTAAATACTCTATTTAGCCCAGCCGAATGGGACCGACTTTTCGTGATACCCCCTACACCTCCTTACTCAGGCAACACTCCTCTCTTTCGGCAATGTCTCCAAAAACAAGTAGGTAGAGTCTCTTTCCCTACCCGACCCGATCATTCCTGTCTGATTAGTTACATCTGAAATCCAAGCTATAGCATTAACAGATCTAACTGATATCTCTGGGATCCCCATTCCTGCAGACCCTCATCTAACCCTTAATACTTGTACCAGAACTGTCTCTATCACCCCAGGAAACTGGCTTACCAATACTAAAGATTGGTCAGATTGTGGAGGAGACTTACTCGCCTGCCTCGAGGACTGTTGTGATATACAATGCTATTCCATAACTCTTGAGGTTATCCTAAGAATCCCACCAACATTGCCAAAAGTACTTTCCGTAGACATGACCTTCCCATTCATATCTACGTTGGTGGAAAATCCCTCCCTGCCCGACCATACCAACCTCCTCCCTGTCAATGTCAAAACTGTTGGTGTTTTGGACATCCTGCCAAACACTGCCGTTCCACAGCCCGATACCCCCTATGTGCCCAGCCTGGCCATAATCGATCAAACTGCTCTGCACAATCACGCACATGTGCTGACTGCAGCTGCCACACCTACAAGTTTGAGTCTTGAGGTGGCAACTCTCCGATACAATCTTGGTCTCACTGTGTGGAGCCAGACAGGAAGCACGTCGACAAGGTTTATCTCATACTCCCCACTCCAGTAATGTCGCTCGCTGAACCCCTCCCCTCCTTCCCAAGATGTTCCTACACCCTCCCCTATACCTACTTACTTCCCCACTTCTACTTCTACCTCCTACCTTCCCCAGTCAAGTGCTTTTGCTACTCTAAATCTAGACACCCCAATCTCAACTACAGCCCCAACACCCTCCCCTCTCCCTCCCCGCACTACCCCCAGCAGACAGACTAAACGTTCCACCCCTTCTTCCCCTACGGCACACTTACTCCCACCTACCTTTGCCTTTACTCCTCAGACATCAGTCTCCTCTCCCTCCCCTTATAAGAAATCCTTTGTCTCACAAGACTCTCCAATCAACTCCTCTGCAGATACTCAGAAGATATTCAAAACTATCTGCTCGAGTCTCAAAATGACACCGAAACCCCTCACCCACCTTCAAAATCCACAACTCCCACTCCCTCCACACTCATAGTGACTGCCGATATCCATCCTCCCACTCATATTCCCCCTACACCCCTTCCTCCTACTCCCCCAACACAGCCCACCCCCTCAGATATCCATCCTCTTCCTACTCATATTCCCCCTACACCCCTTCCTCCTACTCCCTCCCAACACAGCCCATCCCCCTCAGTTATCCATCCTCTTCCTTCTCATATTCCCCTTACATTAACCCTACCTCCATCCCCTCTATCCCTTCCACTCCCTCCTGGATACACACGTGAATCCCTTATGTCACAACTACGCCCTTCCCCAGATCCTTCACCTGATACCCCTCCTGATACTAACCACCACCACCCTTCCAATTCCTTACCTCATCCCCTAGCCCCTTCCCCTTCAAATTCCCCAAAACACACTGTAACCGTTATCACTCGTAGTCGTCATATACTTCCTATAACCCAACCATTATCTGCTTCCAAAGGACTTCTTACACATCCTCCTATACCGATTCCCAACTCCCTCTTTCAGTTACACACTTTCTGTTGTCCTGTCCACGCTTTGCTACAGCCCGCACCTCTGCTTCCCCCCAACCTATCCTCCATTCACCGACCTCCCAACCTATCAGACATCCTTACAGAATCCCGCACTTTCTGCTTTGACAACTGTTCCCCTTCCTCAGACGCATACACATACTCCACTTGATCTAATTCCCTTACCTAGACCCACCATAACCCATTCACTCATCAACTCCTTTACCCATCTTTAACCTTTCAATACTACAATAGATAGTTGACACATGACAACTATCACCCATTACCAAACTCTACTGTACCTTCCTATTGTGCTATATGACCTTAGATGTCAAGCAGATGTATTTTGCTTTTTAACAATTAATTGATAAAGGAAAAAAAATAATACAAAAGTATTTGTTCAGTCGCAATACAGGAAATATATCGAATCTCCTAACACTAATTTTATGTAGAAATTTAGTATTAATAATGATAAGACAGGTGAAACGAGCTACTCTGCTCATTGTTGACATAGTGAAGCGGATATATATATATAATATATATATATATATATATATTATAATATATTATTATATATATATTATATATATATATATATATATATATAAATATATATATATATATATATTATATATATATATATAATATGTGTGTGTGTGTGTGTGTGTGTGTGTGTTGTGTGTGTGTGTGTGGTGTGTGTATTTATATATATATATATATATATAATATATATAAATATATATATATATATATATATATATATATATAATACCATATATATACATGTTAAGCCACGACCTAGCAACTGAAAGTAAAATTTCAAAGATGATTTTTCTCAATGTAGGCAATTATTATAATCCTGTTGGCAGTTAATCGCATAGCTCATACTACCTAGGCCTACGAGAGGACCCCAACGAACATATTTTCAAAACATGATTACATGTCACGCGTTTATATGGGGCTGTGTGTGTTTTTTTTCCGGGTGCCAAAGATAGTGTGCAAAATTTGTTGTTGATATATTCACTTTTCATTTATTATCTGTACCTTTACGATATATAATGAATGAAGCATTATAACTGTGAGGATAATGTTATTGATTATAATTATGACAATAGTAACGATGCTAATAATAACTATTGTAGATATACAGTACAGTATACATACATATTTTTATACGCAAGTACTTACACGCATATATATATGTATATATATATATATATATATATATATATATATATGAATACATAACCTCACCAATCGGGATTCGATCCCTCGCCGCCACTGCAGGCAGGTATCTGCAAGACGACCACTCTAACACTCACGAACTTGCTAAAAGGAAATAGCGTCCATAAACTTAACTTTCCTACTCATACATAAATAAGGATAGCGAGGTTATATGAATATAATTATATTATATATATATATATATTATATATATATATATATATATATATTATATATATATACGTATATATATATGTGTGTGTGTGTGTGTGTGAAGAAATTTGGCTATTTTGTTTATTTTTTAATTTGTTTCGCTTGCCTGTATACGTGGTGAGTGAAATGTATGTATGTATGAACGCGTATATATACATATTATATATATATATATATATATATATAATATATTATATATATATATATATATTTATATATTTATTTATATTTATATATATATATTCATATATATATATATATATATATATATATATATATATATATATATATATACTCATATGTATATATATATATATATATACATATATATATATATATATATATATATATATATATATATATATATATATATATATATATATATATACATACACACACACACACAAACTTTTTAAATTGATGCACAGTTTTGGTACACACTACATGTGTGTTGTGTGTGTGTGTGTGTGTGTGTGTGTGTGTGTGTGTGTGTGTGTGTGTGTATATATATAATATATATATATATATATATATATATATATATATATATATATATATATATATTATATATATATAATATATATATATATATATATCATTTTATATAGTTTTATATATATATATATATATAATTAGATAGATAGATAGATAGATAGATAGATAGATAGATATTGATTGATAGATATACTGATACCGTGCATGCATTCATATATTCATATGCATGTATACCAGTCATGTTTGTGTATCTGTGTGAATGCATATACAGTGTCTGCGTCTGTACAATTGAAAATGACAAATAACAAAAAGGAAGAATGAAAATGGTTATCAAGATTCATGATGATAATGATCGTTTTAGTGACACTGATTATGACAATAATTCTGTCGTCTCTTATGATGGAGTATCGAGGCCTATCATGGCGTGAAATCGCACACAAAGACGTTGAAATGCGAATGAAAGAAAAGAAAAAAAAGATAAGACCTAGACACAGGGAAAATTACGAAAAAGATACGAAGCCAGCCGACGGAAAATGCAAGAGAAATTGAAGTTTGTGAGGCAGGGAAACTTCAGGGGCTGCGCGGGCCGTCCCTGGATGGGGGTCCCATTCCGCCCAGTGACTTGCATGTCTACGAGAGTTGCACGTCGCTTTTGACATGAAAAAATAAGGGAGGCGAGTTGAAGGGTTGAGGGAAGGAGGGAGGAAGGGAGGGAAGGAGGGTTGGAGGGAGGAAGGGAAGGGGGTTGGGAGGGGGAAGGAAGGGAGAGAAGGAGGGTGGTTGGAGGGGGGAGGAAGGGAGAGAAGGAGGGTGGTTGGGAGGGGGTGAGGAAGGGAGGAAGGAAGGAGGAAGGGAGGGTTGGAGGGAGGAGGGAGGTTTGGAGGGAGAGAAGGAGGGTGGTTGGGAGGGAGTGAGGAAGGGAAGGGGGGAAGGAGAAAAGAAAAAAAGGATAGAGAGCGGGAGAAAGGGGAGCACAGAGAGAGACAGACATACATACAGACAAAGAGACGGACAGAGCAGAGAGATAGCGGGAAAGAGAGAGAGTCAG